TCTTTCTCAATACAACTTTGAAATGCACTTAATTTCCACAGTCATGCTATAACTTTAACAAACGCTATAATTCACAACAAACGACACACGCGCTCGACCCAACTGTCCATCTCTATCTCAGTCTGCAGTTCAACTGCCATTATTGCCGTCACTTCTTGGCGGTCTTATATACATAAATACCACATACCTAGTAAACACTCGAGCATTCACGAACCTTCGAGAATATGATGTGTTACTAGCATCACGTGACCTCCACTGTCGTAACAATATTCTACCGTGGCACTTTAATATTGCATCTAATCCATGTGATAGTGAATCGAATAAATCAAATAGTAAGTTCAGCATCAATTATTATAAAATAATTACAACATATTTAAATAAATATAAAATAATCAATTTAAAAAGTTAGAAATTAATTAAAGAGTTTCAACTTAAAGGAGCAAGTAATGTTGTTGAGAAAGGTCAAAGGTAAGTGGGAACTGTCAACCGTTGTATAACCATTATTCAAACTAACCATCAGATTGTTCTGAATAATCTCACACAAGTCTTACATGGAAATTTTACAGAAAACTTGCTAACAAAAAATACCAAGTTACCGTAACAATACTGTCAGCTCCTTTCATCGTTGTTGATCACTAAAAACTGACCTACCCTCAACAACATCTGCCAATATATTAGTCAATAGCAACTGAATTTATTTAACAACACTGCTAGCTAGAATTTGGTGACTTAATTTACAAATCAATATAACCTATGATAAGCAGGAATTGGATTGATTATTGTCACATAAATTAACAGATTAATTAGGATTACCATTATATTGATTAATCAAAATTAGTATTTATATCAGTTGTCATGAAAATAACCAACTAATAAAACTTAAGGTTTCAGATAATCATTATTTCTGATTATTCTAATTATCCAAGTAATCAAAAGTATGCTTGTTCACCCTGTTTTTCTTACAGCAAAGTTGCTAAGGCTATCTAACACAGTCACTAAAGGCAACTGGTTGGAAGTACCGGGGTGTGAGGTACATCGAACTAATTGATCAACAAATACTACTAACTGGCCAGCTCTACCACTAGTTCATTTTGGTCTCACTAATCAATGAAGATTGAACTACCTTTGACAATATATCAGTCTTACAGATTAATAAAGATTGAAGTAACTTCAAAAATACTAACACTCCTCCCCACATAATAACCAATAAATATTGAAGTAACTTCAAAAATACCAACACTCCTTCCCGCATAATAACCAATAAAGATTGAAGTAACTTCAAAAATACTTTTTATTAAGTAAGGACTTGTGTCGCTAAAGTTTCGTCGGAAACGAAGTTACGGAAAGTTAATTAACAAACGGAGACGTAACTTGGTTTATTCTTTCCGAATACAAGTTTACGATACACTTAATTTCAATATTCGCGCTAAAACAAACACTATAACGAACGAACGTTAACTTCAACAATACCCTGTGACTGCAGTTCAATAACTCACTATCTACACACACATTATCTTACCGTCACGTTGTCACCCCCTTTTATATACCAGCCTACCCTATATCTAGTAAATGCTAGAGCATTCGCCAAAGTACAGGATAGTTCTAGAAAGTAGAGGGCGTGAGAATAGTCACGTGATCTCGATGACGCAACAATACCAACTCTCTTCCCCACATAATAAACAAAAAAGATTGAAGTAACTTCAAAAATACCAACTCTCCTCCCCACATAATAACCAATAAAGATTGAGGTAACTTTAAAAATACCAACACTTCTTCCCACATAATAACCAATAAAGAATGAAGTAACTTCAAAAATGGCCCGGCCTGGCCAGGTGGT